TGCAACATTAAAATAAACGAAAAATTTGTAATGGGGATGATAAACCATGAACTGCCCTGCAAGCGTAAAATGGCATTTCGTCCAGTGTTAAAGAAAAGGAAAACTCTGTAATGGGGATGAAAAACATGTCCTGCATTGGTTATTGTTATTACAATAATGCTGTTCGAACAATTTGGATTTCATGGTTTTTACTTTAGTTCTTTAGGTTGTGAAACTCTAAAGGTAACGAGAAGCTTGTAACCTGGAAGTTAAAATCATGGTTTTTACTTTAGTTCTCTTTAGCTTATTCAGTCTGTTGATAGCAGTGAGAACCTTAGATCTTTGAAATTTTACCAATAAACTATATTTATTTTACAATTTACTTAGAATGTTCAATCTTTATGCATAATAATGACGATACAATTTTTGCTTCATTTCTGGACGCAGGAAATAATATGGAAGGTGGCATTGATGATTTTTTGTTGGAAACTGAGGATGAGATCGTTGCGGAGAACAGGAACATAGTGGAAGATGAAATGTTAGGAGATGATGGTATCGTTGTACCTAAGGTCGGAATGACATTTAGCAGTGAAAATGAAATGTTTGAATTGTACAAAGAATATGCATACAGCGTAGGTTTTCCCGTAAAAAAAAGGAATTCAAAAAAAGGGTCCGGTGGAGTTTTGAGATTTGTGACATATACTTGTGGCCGTGAAGGTCGAAGGCCAAGTACTGCTACCGGATCTGTAAGGCCGCAACCAACAATTCAAACCAATTGTAAGGCCCGGATAAGCGCATCTTCAGATGATCATGGATCTTGGAGAATTAATGCAGTCCACCTCGACCACAATCATGGAACAAGCCCATCGAAATCCAAGTTGTTTCCATGCAATAGAGAACTGAGTGCACAGGTTAAGCGGAGGCTTGAAGTGAACGATGTGGTGGGAATTCCGTTGCACAAAAGTTATAATTCCGCAGTTGTTGAGGCGGGCGGATACGAAAATATGACTTGTGTGGAAAAGGATTGTCGGAACTACATCGAACAAGTGAGACGGTTGAGACTCGGAGAAGGAGATGCCGCCGCAATACAAGCATATTTTTCAAATATGCAAGCACATTGCTCGGGGTTTTATTTTAGTATTGATTTGGATGATGAATCGCGGTTGAGGAACATATTTTGGGCAGATAATAGGTGTAGGCAGGCATACAAGGAATTCGGCGATGTGGTCACGTTTGATACAACGTATCTTACAAATAAGTATGATATGCCTTTTGCTCCTTTCGTTGGCGTCAATCACCATGGACAATCAACACTGCTTGGTTGTGGTTTGCTTTCGAACGAGGACACAAATAGTTTTGTGTGGCTATTCAGGTCATGGCTTCAGTGCATGCACAGTGTAGCTCCCCATGGAATAATCACTGATCAGGATAGAGCCATGCAAAATGCAATTCAAATTGTTTTTCCAAATACAAACCATAGGTGGTGTTTATGGAACATTTTGAAAAAGTTGCCAGAGAAGTTTGGGTACCATATTGATAAGGGTTCTATATTTTCTGATATACATGGATTGGTGTATGATTCCCAGTTCGTTGAAGAGTTTGAAGAAGGTTGGATCGCAATAATTAATAAGTTTGGATTGCATGAAAATGATTGGTTATCTGGACTATACGAGAACAGAAAGCGTTGGGTTCCTTGCTTTCTGAAAACCACTTTTTGGGCAGGGATGTCAACAACGCAAAGAAGTGAGAGTATGAATGCGTTCTTTGACGGATATGTACACTCAAAGACTTCATTGAAACAGTTTGTAGAACAATATGAGCGAGCACTAAGGAATAAGGTTGAAAAGGAATTTCAAGCTGATTTCAAATCATATTCACAAATGCTACCATGCGTAAGTATGTTTGAAATGGACAAAACAATTTCAATCTGTTTATACCATCTCAAAATTCAAGGAGGTTCAGGAGGAGTTTATAGGGAAGATGTATTGTGACCTCATATCTACTTCAGAAAATAGTTTTGGGATAATGTGCGAGGTCTGCGAAGTTGTGGCATGCGGCGAGCGAATGAAGAAAAAAATATTTTTTGTGTCATTTCAAAAGGAGAATTGTCAATTCATTTGCAGCTGTCACTTGTTCGAGTTTAGGGGTATAATTTGTAGGCATGCGATATCGGTGTTGATCCGTAATTGCATACATCAATACCGGAGAGGTACATACTGAGACGATGGAGAAGAGATGTTAGTAGAACACACACGAGGGTGGCTGTGAACTACGCTGGGTTGGTTAGTACACCTAGTCAGTTGAGATATGATAGTATGTGTCAGTCTTTTGCTGGGTTGGCAGATCTTGCTGCTGATGATGACGGGCAGACTCGCGCCATAATGGACTGGATAGAATCGCAGTGTACAGTTCTTACGTTGACACGGACGAGTACAAGCACTAATGTCCTCGCACATCATACGGTACAATTAGGCCCCCAGTGTAATGTATCGCAGAATACCTTGAGCGGGAGCGTACGGGACCCTCTCGTGTCGAGAAGAAAGGGTGCACCAAAGAAACTTCGAAGTAAAAGCCCGTTGGAGTCGAGTTCGAAGAAAGTAAAGGTAATTTAAAATATTATAATTCATATTCTGCCAGATTGTTGCAACAATTCCTCATACGCTCGCTTTGATATGCAGGCAACATCAACATCGAGCAAAGGAAAGAGACCAAATTCGAGTCAGAGTGCTACTCCAGTTGGTACACAAGAACTTCAGGCGTCCCAACATTAGCATGAAAAATTCAGAAAGAAAATCTTTTGCCTCTTAAGTTTTATCAATTGAGGAAAAATTTTATGCATGTCCATAGTGGACTATTTGGTTTTGGCCAGGTAGAATAATATGCAGAATCAAAACTTGCTATTTCGTGCCTGTAGAAATAAGAATTGGTTTGATAAGAAACTTGCGTGATTTTAAGTGAACAAATCTCAAGACCTGTGTTTTGCTTACATTTTGTATAACTGTACATTTGTGTTGAACGTGTTAGTTAATGATTTGAGCAATAGATGCATGGACTGTCCCGCGCATTTTGAAAACGCCTAAATAGAAAGAAGTAGAAACTGAAAGATAAAAAATTCTCAGGATTATATGCATTGCAACCTGCAAGCTGAAATTTTACACCAAACTATCTATAAACATTTCAAAACTTCTCAATGATTTGCCGCCCTGACTAGTGTTTGCCGCTGCGCAATGGGGATCGACCTGCCCGGTCAGGTCCCGGGGTCGAGGGGGCAGCGTCCCCCGTGGGGCTCGGGGGCAACGCCCCCGAAAGAGAATTTTATTTTCAAAAGTTTTTGAATAGGTACATCTGTTCATTTTGACATTTACTTCCAACAGATATGTTTTTCATTTCAAGGGACACACCCAATATAGAAGACGAACTTAAAAAAGTATACAATTGATCGTAAATTATATTTTTATTTTTGTTTACAAAACCACATCCTCGAACAACAATAAAATAGAAAAAAATGAAAAAAAAGTGTGTAAGTGTCTCCGTGACACACTGCTCCGGAGCAGAGTGTCACGGAGACACTCTCTCCATGACACACTGTCACGGAGAGTGTGGGGCAGTGTGTCACGGAGAAAGTGTCTCCGTGACACACTGCTATGGTCTGCCAAATTTGTCCCGTTTTTCAAACAATTTCTACTGTTCATTGATGTGTTCATTATTAATTTTTTATTACCTGTTCAACATCTGTGCAAAGGAATCTGTTCGAATAGCATTGTTGATTGAAGTATGTGAGGACGATTTGACTTTTCAAGTGTGAGGCCTCAATTTTAAGATATATTAATATTATTTAAAGGGAAAGTTGCTGTATAGATCCTCAACCTTTTAAAAATATGCAATACAGTCTCAAATCTCTAAATCATAACAGTTAAATCACAATCTTTTGAAAATATGCGATAGAAGGACCTCTGGATATTTTTCATCTAGATACACATTAGTTGACCAATTGACTTGCATTTAACCATTTTAATAAGAGACAAAAATCTTTAATATTTAATTATTTAGAATAATAATTGAAAAAAGAGAAGCTGAAAATAAGAAAATAATGAAAATAATCATCATTTCCACTACCACCCATCACAATAGTCACCACCATAACTGTAAAGAAAATAGGTCAAATGATGACATTTTGGATGGAAATAGTCCATGGATTTTAAAACATCATATAAATTGAGGTGTCCTCAATTCAGATTTAAATATAATTCATTAAAATGTAGGTGTCCTCAACCTAAACTTTTAGAAATATTTATAAATTTAAGTGTCCTCAACTTAGATTTTAATAGGTAAATTAGAAATTTACGTGTCCTCAATAACTACTTGATTTAAGATGATTTCATTAATTAGATAGATTTTGGTAGATTTTAAAAGATTTCAAGCCAAAAGTATAAATACCAAAAATATGTAACAATTATATCCCAACCCCACAAATTTCAAGACTTTTCTCGCCTGCAGATTTGTCGCCCTCTCCCTCTCTGGTGAAAAGGTTTTTCTTTTTCTTCTTCTTCTTCTTCTCCTCCCTATCTCGCATCTCTCTACCATGAACAGATCAATTTTTACTGAATTTATCAATTTTCTGATTTGTTAGTTTCACCGATGGCCATTAATTTCCCACATATTCTGACTTGTTAATTTCACCAATGGTCGTCAATTGATTTTTTATTCTGACATGTTAATTCTGGATTTTTCTTATTGAATATACTACAAATTTTTTTCCATGTGTAAGTAATTAAGAGTTACGAAATATAGTTACAATGACATACACATTCATTGAAATCTATTTTACCATAAATTTTACCCAAATCGATGAGAATCTATAAAATCCATTAAAATCTATAAAAATCCATGAAAATCTACAAAATAGAAATTCATTCAAATCTTATGAAATCTATCAAATTCCATACAATCCATGAGAATTTATAAATATTAACAAATCTACTAAACTCTGAGTTGAGGACACCCCCGTAAATATGTTTTCGATGAAACTGCTACGATTTAAAGTTTCAGGGTTGCACTACATAGTTTGAATGATTTGAAATTTCTGCCGTAAATTTTAACAAAAATAAGAGAGGGGAGGAAAAAGAAGAAAATCTACTTAAATGATTGAGTTTTAAACCTATATTTTTCATGGAATTGTGATCTCAGTAGTTTAATTTGTAACAAGAACAAAACCTATGAATTTAACCTTCTCCCATTCTATCGGGTAGGAATTATCATCCGTATCTGTTTGTGTTTTATTATAATCTCTTTATAATTTGAAGTTAAAGTTTACCACGAATTTATAATTACGAGAAATGATCTTTTAAGTAAAGGAGCTTACACAAGCACATGACATGCTACATCAATTAATTGGTGAATTATTTAATTTTTAAGATATATCATCAACTTATTCATCATTAATTGATGTGTAATGTCATCAATGGTCTATTCAACCACTACCCACTTAATTATGCACATGTTTCATGAGATCAATTACTCATTTTTATTTCAATAATTATAACGAAATTTGTTAACTTCAAGAAATATGCCAACAGAATCTCTGTCACTTCCCTTCCATGTAGATGTCACCTGCACACTCGAACACTCCATTAGCAGGTAAAGGTCGTCGGCCAAAAAAATGTCCAATGACCATTTGTACTTCGATGCCAAGTCAACGAACAAACAAGAGATAATATGAGTGCAAGTTAAGGAGAGGAGATTTGACTAGAGCTAGAGTGACATATATTGATTGTGAATGGACTCACATATATATAGGAGGTAAATGGTCTAAGGGACCTAAGCCTAGGCCCAAATAGATTGTTTGATTAATTGGGCCAATTCAATTAAATAATTGATCTTAAGTCGGCCAATGTATGACTCCATTCATCACGTACATGCCATGTAATTTATAGATATAAGAATAGTCCTTCCAGTTGAATCATATAATTATATGAGGGTTGAACTTGAAATATAAGTTGTCAAGTAGACGAGATCTTACAGATTGCTTCGAAATATAAATAGCTCCAATAAGTGAGCCCTTACGAATCACGTAAAAAATATGCATCAATCTTAAATAGGTGAGAACTCACGAATTGTCTCAAGAATATAAGCTGCTACGATTTATCAAAATTTAGATAGCTTCTTCTCTACAATATGGATTAAACCAACCTGTATTGCAATATAAGATCTCCACTATACATATATATAATAAATTGAGGTCCATTTACCCTCTCTACATACTCATGATGATAATATGCAGAGAGCTTATCATGTATCAAAGTAAATCATATGCTTGCACAACCTAAAGTAAAAAATATTGCTAATAGGAAGCGAGTAACATGATGTCCATAATAAAATGATTGTGTAAGTAACGTGGCATATGTACTAACTATAATGAAAATAGTGTCATGACATTCTAATAGTGATATGACGTGTATTTTGCAACAATAATATAATGTATATGCTTGTAGTAATAATATAAGGACATTATAAGATACTAGTATCACAATATGTTATATCTATATATTATGTTGCGTGCACGTGAAGGAAAGGTCCCACATTGACTAACTCGACGTTGATTATTTAATTGGATTGGGCCAATTAATCAAGCAACCTCTTTTTGGACCTAGGCTTGGGTCCAGTCCACTAGCTCACTTGGCCCATTTGCCACCTACATATTTGCGAGTCCATTCACAGTCATGGTATGTCACTCTAACCTTAACTAAATCTCATTTCCTTTTCTTGCATTCATAGTATCTCTTATTTGGTCATTGATTTGATTATCGGAGTGCAAATAATCGTTAGACCTATTTTTGGCCAACAGTCTTTACTTCCTAATGGCATGTTCGAGTGCGTAAATGACGCTTACATGGAGGGGAGATGGTCGGAATTCTGTTGGGCCATTTTTTAAGGTCGAGAAAATTCAAACAAGCACTTTATAAATATTAGATTTGTTGTTGATATATTCATAGAAACTAATTTAAAATCATATTTCTTGAGATATTTTAATACTTAATAATTATGGCTAGGAGATGGATAGTTTTGTAAAGGGTATTTGATTCACTTTATTCGACAAGATTCTCTTAAAATATGAGTAAAGTATTGTAAAAAGGAAGACTAAAATAACTTATAGAGTTTAATTTGCTAATAATCGAAGTCCACCTTGATTGAATTATTGTACATACCGACTTTTAGAGGCTTCCCTTGGAGACTAAGAAAGTTAGGTTAACAGCCTTGCCTCGCCTCGCCAACCCAAGAAACGTGTCGCAGCCAACCTACCATGGCGGCGGCGCTGCGTGTCGTGGCCCCAGTCACTAGCTGTCCATGTTTTTTGGGACCCCACACGGCTTTAAATGCAGTATATAAACCCAACTCAAGGACCAAGAAAACGCACACAATTTTCTTGTACTATTATTTTCTAATTTCTCTCAATTGTTCTGTTTTTTCAAATACACATGGAAATGACAATGTTGAGGGCTGTGTCCATGTTCGTAGCCGTGATGGCAATTTGTTCTGCTGCAATGGCTCAGGATGAGTTCGGAATGTCTCCGTCGCCTGCCCCGACGCCGGACCACGGTGCAGGATACACCTTGCCGGTTTCTGCCGCTGTTGTGGGTTCTTCGTTGGTTTTGTCTCTCTTGGTCCTCATCAAGAACTAGATTATTTATCCTTGTTTCTTCATCGGTTCCCTTATGATTCGTGGAGATCGTACATCACACAAACTGAGTTTTGTATGAATACTATTTTTTATTTTTACTTTTTGGTTGGACACTGAGAATTATACTATTTATATATAGTGATACATTATACTATTCTTTATTTGAGAGTTCTTGTTGCATAATAAATTATTCATTTTTAATGATTTATCCTGTTGGAAATAAGAATTATGGCTACTATCGAATCCAGTTCGGCTTGACCTGTTTACGAACCGTGCCATGGACTAGATTGCCGCCTTAGGCAAATGCC